GTCGGGTCTGCGTTGGTCGGCAAGGCATCCTGCGGTGATGTGATCAAGCTCCAGGTGAAGGTGGGCGAGGACGGCACCATTCAGGATGCCAAGTTCAAGACCTTCGGCTGCGGCTCAGCTATCGCTAGCTCCTCCTATGCCACGGAGATGATCATCGGACAGAACATCACCGAGGCGTCGAAGATCAAGAATACCGACATCTCTTCTCACCTGAAGCTGCCTCCGGTAAAGATCCACTGCTCTGTTCTGGCCGAGGAGGCTATCCAGGCAGCCATCGCCGACTACAAGACCAAGAACTCTTCCGAGGCCTCTGCGCTGTGAGGGACTCCAGCGTGCGATCAGGTCCCGGTTGAGCCGACGCCAATCAGACTTGTGCAAGTAATGCCAGAAGCCGTCGTCACTCCTCATACATGCAATGGCCGCAGATGTTTAGCACCGATGCCGATCATAAGGTTTCATTTCGGATAACAGAGCAGCATAGCTATGTAGGCTTGCATTTGGCGATGCTCAGCTGGGCCGGCACTGTACAGGAAGTCGCTCACTGCCCGAAACCGCAGTAGATAGCCTTCAAGCCGCAGCTCAGGAGCAGGTGAGCTACTGCCTTGCGCTGCGAAACAGAGGTTGCCAGACCCGAAATCGAGTCATGATCGTCATTGTCATGACAAGGAGTGCTGTAGCTTTAGATTTCAATCTTGTTGGATCGTTGAGTATTTCAATACACCGACATGTTGGCACGTGGTCTGACTCTTATTCGGCAGGCGTTGGGGACGTGAATGTGCCCTGTAGCCTCCATCGCCTGCCTGTCAGCAGGAGCCTTTGCTTCTCCCAGCATTCATTCCAGACTGGACTGTTGTACGGTGCAGGTTCTCAAGCTGTATAATAATAAAGTGTTTGCTGTTTGTCTGACGGAGAAGCAGAACGCGGCTGACAAGACCCCCTCCAGCCGTCGGGCTAAAGAAGAAATCGAAGAAGTTGAACTGCGCTTAATGGCTGAGTGTCCACTCCTGAGCATAACAATCGACAGGTGCAGTGGCTGCCTGAAATGCTTGGGCTCGAGGAGTTGTAAGATCTCACCAGGCTTCTGATCAGGCACGGCCTTTCTTTTCCCAGGAGCCCGGAAATCATGTCTCTCAGCATCCTCTCTCGTCGCGCTGTAGCTCCTCTCGTCGCGCCTCGCTTTGCCGTGGCTGCCCGCCGTGGATACCACGAGGTCGTGCACGACCACTTCAGCAACCCCCGCAATGTGGGCAGCCTGGACAAGGAGGACAAGAGCGTCGGGTCTGCGTTGGTCGGCAAGGCATCCTGCGGTGATGTGATCAAGCTGCAGGTGAAGGTGGGTGAGGACGGCACCATTCAGGATGCCAAGTTCAAGACTTTCGGCTGCGGCTCAGCTATTGCTAGCTCCTCCTACGCCACGGAGATGATCATCGGACAGAACATCACCGAGGCGTCGAAGATCAAGAATACCGACATCTCTTCGCACCTGAAGCTGCCTCCAGTAAAGATCCACTGCTCTGTTCTGGCCGAGGAGGCTATCCAAGCAGCCATCGCCGACTACAAGACCAAGAACTCTTCCGAGGCCTCTGCGCTGTGAGGGACTCCCGCATGAGATCAGGTCCAGGTCCCGGCTGCGAGGCTGAGATGACGCCCACGGGGCTGGGAAGGTGTAAGCCTTTACGTTTAGTGAGAATTCTCTTAGGGCTGTTTAGTGCAGACAACAACTGGTTCGACCCCCACCTCCTTCACTTGCCTGCGTGTCGGGTATCCAGTGCAAGTTCCGCTCACAATTGTACAGGATGCTGTTCACTGACGGCACCACGCAGTGGATTGCATTGTCGAGTTGTAAGCTACCTCAGGAGCAGCTGAGCTGTGTAAAGCGGCAAGAAATCATCAGCATCACACGATTTCGTCACTCCCGGTGCGAAGAGACCCGTACATAAAAAGCCGCTACGGCCGCTACGGAGGAAGAGGGTGCACGAAGCCCTTCGTCTCTGCGACAGCTCATCTTTCCTTGTTGGAGCCATTGTGCGTGCGGACATGCACCTTGAAATTATGCAAGCAGATGCCAAACTGGTGCGCACACCTGCGAACCCAGTCTGCTCGAGAATCCCGTTCTCTGGTGCATCGAGCTTGGTTGTTCAGCAGCACGCTGTATCTCTCTAGATTGCATGTGCAAGTTCTGAAACGCATAGTCATACTACTGTAGGATCAGCCATACAGTTGAAGCTCATGTTAGCCCTGCAATACAGTGAGATGCAGTATGATGCAGTGCAGCTGACAGACCTGTGGCAAGCACGCGTCGTTGCAGCTTGTCAAAAGCTTGTGCGGCTTCTCGAAGGGTTGTAATACATAATATATCATACCTAACGTTATCTCACATATATGTATATATAGTTATTCATGTATTTGTTCAGTTATTTATTTTTTATGTCTAAGATCACATGTAAGAACTGAACGAATAAGATAAACATATGTTGGAATATACGATGTATAATGTGTAAGATATAATATGTAGTATATGCAGTGATATCCCAGCGCACATAGAGCTGATCCTGCTAGCTGGAGTGCCGACCCGTGTAACCTGGTGAGCCCGGCCAAGTTTCGACAAATCAGGCGCCAGAAGCCGGAAAGCCACTCTGGAACAGACGGACAAGCCTCATAATGCAGTATACTAGCTATAACATGGTATAGTATAGTATAACATATAGCATATAATATACTACAATATAATATAATATGCTGCAACGTCCAGGGCCCAAACTTCGCAAACCACTGTTGATCCATCAGGTCTCAAGATTCTGTGAGCCGTCCCAAAGCCACACCTAAGCCCCGATGTACTACGAGGCTCCAGCCGAACCATGGTGAAGAGCTCTGGGGTCGACATTGCGCGATCCCGGTTTAGGGTTGGGGGTTTAGGGAGCCCTCAACCCTGTAGCCTTTCCCTCTACAGCCTAAAACCCTAAACCCTAGTCCTAGCTAGGTGGGAGGCAAAAAAAACCCCAGTACTGAGCAAAACCCCCCAGAAGCCCTAAGCCGATGACATTCGGCAAGGAACCTCTCAGTTCAGAGCACTGGCACCACTGCGCTGACTTGGCAGAGGTCCGCCTCTCATTTGCGAATTGAAGCGGGGTTCGCGGCTTTAGGGTTTGAGGGGTTTTATGTTTCGAGCGCTTGGGAGGCAGAGAGAGAGAGAGGCGGGGTTTTAAGGTCCCGGCTTGGTGTTTCTAGCTCTTTGCGGTCATGAGTGCACTCAGGGACTTATAAGGTCATTACTTGGAGCTTCTATATACTGTTCGGGCTTCATCTATCGGGCCTCCAAGAGTGCTGCCGCTGATTGCGAGTGTTGCTTCTCTTCGGGTAAGAGCTTCATGGGGAGTTCTTGGCCTCAGAGCCTGCAGTGTAACCAACATTAACCCGTCTTGTAATCCTTCATGACGCAGCTCTAGAAGGTAGAAGATCTCTACAACCCACCCGGCAATGCATATCACAAGCTACGAAACTTCTGAAGGGTGTCTGCACAGGCCATTGTTGTTGACGACAACAGGAACGCACTATGGCCGACAATGCGTGCGTCCACTTTACAAGTTGCTTCGCGGGGCGGCATCGATTTGTAGGTGTAGGTGATCATAGCTTTACATCTGTGCCTATGCCCATCTATACATGACACATGACCCACCCTTGGGGTCCGAAACTCTATCCACTCCAAACCCAATACAGCCTTCAACCCTAAACTCGAAACCTCATGCCCTCATCCTCGGAACCGACACAGGTGCCTCACGCCCCTTGATCTCACAGATCTTGTGCATCGAGCACGTCGCAGGGCCAAGTGTGTGTTCGCAATGCTTTCTTGTAGCCAAACGTGCCCCAAAACCCTCCTCCTGATCGGGTTTAGGGTTTAGGGTTTAGGGTTTAGGGGGTTTAACGGCAGGTGTCTTGGCTCGGCCGCTCGGCCTTGCTGTGCCCAAAGCCTGCAGTCTTGAACCCGGAACTACTGGGTTCTTGTTAAGGGATTTAATTTAAGTTACCATAATAAGGAAACCATATTATTTACTATAGGTCCCTATNNTAACTTAAATTAAACCCCTTAACAAGAACCCAGACTAGGATGGCTGTCCGCAGCATGGCTTGGACTCAGACCTCTCAATTTAGCTTTACCCTGCACTTCGTGGCGGTGCTGCCCTGAACTCACTATCCTGTAAAATGCGGCTCCAAGCCCTAAGCTGACCTGGACATTAAGTCCCCAGTCCTGCCGACTCGGAACTGAGGTTTGTGCATCCGTTGCAGCTTTCAGGTTCTCCAGCTGAGCCGAAGACTAGCATCCACAGCTCAAACTTAGAGTCGAGTTGATGGTTTAGGGATGAGGAGTGCAGAGGCAGGAAGAGACAAGCGGGACGACGGCGCGAGACGGAGAAACCGACAGAGAGACATGGCATGACTCAGCCACCGACACCGCATCGGCGTTGAAGTTGCATCCCACCAAATCGTTTTGTCAATTGCAAAGTTGCGACTTACTAGCATAGTTTCGGGCCGCGTTTGTTAATGCATACATGTGAGAGCCCATGTAAAGCCCGCATGTGGTGAAAGGCTTTATTGAAGCCTTGCCTCAACCCACAACCCACAACAACAACAACAAGCTCTTTGCGGCGGTTTAGAGTCCCCGCAATGAGAGCTCGCTTCGCAGCACCTCTGCGATTTGCCGCCCGATGGCGGCCTGCAGTGGGCGCGGTGGCACTCGCTACTGCGCATGGCCAGGTTTGGGGTGCCTTGGACATTCCGCTGGTTCAGGGTTCCCTCGTGGGTTGCAGTTCATGTTCGAAGTTTTTTGTGTGGCTGGTTGTCTGGATGCATAGATCTTGTGTGCCGGTTGGGGCAACCCAGTCGAATCTCCATGCCCCATGTAAAGGCAAGGATTTCACGAAGGATTTACGGAAGGGTGTATGGAAAGGTTTTATTCGGTTTAAAATGGAAGGGTGTATGTATAGAGAAGCTTAAAGTCTTAAGGCATATAGGAGGTGTGGTAGAAGGGTTCTTGGGATGGTGTATGGAAGGGGATTTTATAGATGGGTAGGTTGAAAGAAGCTACGTGGATGGAAGAATGAGCAGGTGGATGGATTGGTGGATGCCTGGATGGTTCGATGGATGGAGGGATCAAAGTACCCATGGAGGAATGCATGGAACGATGAGTTGATGTTGGGTGTCACGGAGCTGACGACATCGCTGCTCCATACAGCACGCTTTCCAGTTGTTCTTACTACTTCAGCTAGCAGTACTTTTAACATTTGTGGGTGGAGCAGTGCAGGCTTCGGTGAGCAAGCACACCCTCCATGTGATGTAAGACATCAGATTAGCCTTCTCATTTATGAGACCCCTACTTCCAGGTGCGACCTGGTGCGAAGAGCCTTACCCGCCTCCGCCGAAGAAGCCGATCCCGTGCCGCGAAATTGTTTTTTTTCTGTAGCCGTCCCAAAGCGTCATTCATGGCGCATGGGTAGGTTAATAGTTATAGGTAGATAGGCGGTAGGTTGATATAATGAGATAATAGTTACATCATGGATACATAGATAGCTTAGATACTCTCGCGTGAGTCTGAGGTGTAAGTCCTCGGCGCACGCTCCACCGGATCCCTCGACCACACCTGCATCCGAGGAGGAGGTGGAGGACCTGAAAGTATCTTCACCACCCTCTAAAGCTCAGATAGTCTTGAAATGTGATTCATGTCGTAGTCTTACGGAGGTCGATACTTACTTCGCATCAGACTTCGCAGCTGTGTCTCTCGAAGCCCTTTCTTTGTCTGTCCTCGTGGCCCACACATGTCAAGCCATGCGCCTCGGCTCGGCCAGGGCCCCCCATTCTGGGGTTTTGATATTGTGTAGAGAGAGAGAGATATATATATAGATATATATATATATATATATGATCCCGGTTCGGCCGGCCCGCCCCCCTCCCCCCCCCAATGGTTCCTCCTCCCCCTCCCTGTGGTGTGGTGTGGTTGCGGGTTGCTTCCCCCTCCCTGTGGTGGTGTCTTGTGGTTGGGGAGTGGGTCTGCTTAGGCTGGTTCCCCCACTCCCCCCTGTGGTGTGGTGTGGGTTTGGGTTTCCTGCGTGGGTCTGCTTGGCGTGTGAGCCCTCGTGTGGAAAAAAGCGTGCACAGTCACACAGATTCG